TTTGTTGAGCTTTCATCCACACGTCATGGTTGTTATCCACGGACGGAGTTTGCTCAGTGCAAAGCTATAAAAAAAAAACTAGTAAGTGGATGTTGAGAAACGACAATTTCTACAGTCAAGAATGAAGTTTACATCAGCTGCTGTTTGTTCTGGTCACACTTTATTTTGAAGGTCCAGAATGTCCCATTGTTTCCTGTTGGGCTTCAACTGACAATTATTTTCATTATCAATTTTCTTGATTAATATATTAACTGTAAAATAGTGAAAAATGCCAAATGGAGTTTCTCAGAGTCTAAAGTGACGTTTTTAAGAAATTCAAAAACTCAAACTCAGTTTTTCACATTTTTCCTTGAAGCAGTTATAAAAAGTAAATTTATAAAACACATTTATAAAAAGTAAATGTGCATTAGAGTTTTGTTCAGTTCAGCTTTAATCTAAGTTAAAACAGAGACATGGTCCTGAGTCTGTTCCTGTGTTGACTTTACTTCAGTGGCTTGAATTCATGTTGATTTACATTAAAAAAGCTTTTCACAGTGAGAACGAGAATGTTCAACAATCAGAGGAAATAAAACATACGTTTGTTTAACAGACATGTTTGTTTTTATCCCTTTAATTATCATGAAACCCCACAAGATTATTTTGGGACGCCTTGATGTTTGGAGCCACTAATTTCAACCCAAATAACTATGAATTTATTATGAACGTATTCGTTTTTTCTCCAACTCCAAAAAGTTCAGCAGTTGGATCCCAATAATTATTGTCCTTTCTATGAATTTACACTTTCTTATCTCCGTCTTATATTTTTATATAATGATGTTTGTTTGTTTTTTTGTTAACTACATTTTTATTTATGTTCAGTTTAGAAACAAAAAGTGAAATCAATCAACTGCATTTAATATAAATGTACTATAACACCGTGATCAGAATCACATCGATTCTTTCCTCTGACATTTTATTGACTTTATTTACCTTGATTTCCTGTAAGCTTCTTGACAACAGCGGTTTAGAAAAGCAGCAGGTGTTTAATAATTTACCTGCGGAGACGTCGGTATTACGTCACCGCACCTGTATGTGACGCCAAATGTAAAAACTGATTCATTTTGAATATTGAGCTCACTCCTCACATTTAGTTTTATATTTAACCTTTATCTTTTTTACATTTACACCGTTAACGTGTTTCCGGTCTGTTGTGTGAGGAGTGAACTCAACACACCTGAAGCAGGAGAGTGTTGGTGGTTGTAGTGGTCTTAACTTTTAATATCTGAGATCGTAACAGTGACATCATTCTCTCACCTGTCCTTCAGGATCGTTCCCATGGCGACCAGGTGGAGCAGGCGACACGACGCCAGACGGAGACGAATTTCAACTCGCGCCGACGACCGGCGCCTCCGTGTTCCTCACCTGGCTGCTCCGCCCCTGCGGTCAGTGACACACAGACTGACGACACCTGTGCACACACCTGATCAGTCCGAGAGCGTCACGTGATGAACGTTCCGAATCTCAACTCTTCATTATGTCTCGCGATAACAACATTAAAAACTAATCACGGCTCTGGCTTCCGTAGATATCGGAGGAAACGTCAGTAGAAAACGTTCATCACTCACTCACTCGTTCACTCAGAGAATCACTCTCTCACTCACTCTCTCATTCGTTCACTCTCTCACTCGTTCACTCAGAGAATCCCTCTCTCACTCACTCTCTCATTCGTTCACTCTCTCACTCGTTCACTCAGAGAATCCCTCTCTCACTCACTCTCTCATTCGTTCACTCTCTCACTCGTTCACTCAGAGAATCCCTCTCTCACTCACTCTCTCATTCGTTCTCTCACTCACTCACTCATTCGTTCACTCACTCACTCACTCAATCACCCACTCACTCGTTCACTCAATCACTCACTCACTCGTTCACTCACTGAATCACTAGTTCACTGAATCACTTGTTCACTCACTCACTCAGTAAATCACTCGTTCACTGAATCACTCTCTCACTCAGTGAATCACTCGTTCACTCACTCACTCAGTGAATCACTCGTTCACTCACTCACTCGTTCATCACTCACTCACTCGTTCACTCATAGAATCACTCTCTCACTCACTCACTCACTCGTTCACTCAGAGAATCACTCACTCACTCACTCACTCACTCGTTCACTCACTCACTCGTTCATCACTCACTCACTCGTTCACTCAGAGAATCACTCTCTCACTCACTCACTCATTCGTTCACTCACTCACTCATTCAATCACCCACTCACTCGTTCACTCAATCACTCACTCAATCGTTCACTCACTGAATCACTCGTTCACTGAATCACTTGTTCACTCACTCACTCAGTGAATCACTCGTTCACTCACTCACTCAGTAAATCACTCGTTCACTCACTCACTCGATGAACCTTCAGGGTCTCCGTGTGACACAGTGTAATCTGTCTGTCTTGTCTATCAGAGGGGAGGATGCAGTAACAGAGCTCAGAGGAGACCGTCCTCTCAGGACAGACAGGTGGACAGACAGGTGGACAGAGACACCGACACCTTCAACAGGACCAAAGGTGAGTGGAGGTTAGCCCAAAGTCCCAGAATGCACTTCAGCAGTAGCCAGTTCTCGGAGGTGTGCTGACCTGTGTGACTCTGCGTTCCAGCTCCTGAGATGTCGAGCTGCGTGCGGTCAGGTGACTGCGCCGCCGGTCTCTGCTGCGTCCGCTACCTGACCGGTAAACGGTGTCAGAGGATCCCGGTGGAGGGCGAGGCCTGTCTGCTGCGAGGCTCCACCAAGCTAAGGAGGAACCTGGGCCGCTGCGACTGCGACGCGGGGCTGTCCTGCACCGCCGTCAGCCGGGCGGAGTCGGGCAAAAACAAGGGTCAGGGCGTGTGTCTGCCCCGCCCGAGGCAGGGCCAGAGGAAAACAAGGCATTCTGGGAAGAAGAGGAGGACGGCAGAGAGGAGCTGCTGACAGATTCCCCATGAACCTTTATTTAAACCTTCAGTCTGTAGCTGCTTGTTTTAGCCGTTTGAAACGCTGACGCTGATCTCCTTCTGTGCTCGAGGCTTCAGGTCCTCAGCTGAGAGACGGACTTTTCTCTCCACGTGGAGTCGCACGAGAGTCTGGGCCCTTCAGAGGGGCCTTCAGAGGGGCCCTTCGGAGGGGCCCTTCGGAGGGGCCCTTCGGAGGGGCCTTCAGAGGGGCCCTTCAGAGGGGCCTTCAGAGGGGCCTTCAGAGGGGCCTTCAGAGGACCCTTCGGAGGGGCCCTTCGGAGGGGCCCTTCAGAGGGGCCTTCAGAGGGGCCTTCAGAGGGGCCCTTCAGAGGGGCCTTCAGAGGGGCCTTCGGAGGGGCCTTCAGAGGGGCCCTTCGGAGGGCCCTTCAGAGGGGCCTTCAGAGGGGCCTTCAGAGGGGTCTTCAGAGGGGCCTTCAGAGGGGCCCTTCGGAGGGCCCTTCAGAGGGGCCCTTCAGAGGGGCCTTCAGAGGGGTCTTCAGAGGGGCCTTCAGAGGGGTCTTCAGAGGGGCCTTCAGAGGGGTCTTCAGAGGGGCCCTTCGGAGGGGCCCTTCAGAGGGGCCCTTCGGAGGGCCCTTCAGAGGGGTCTTCAGAGGGGCCTTCAGAGGGGCCTTCAGAGGGGCCTTCGGAGGGGCCTTCAGAGGGGCCCTTCGGAGGGCCCTTCAGAGGGGCCCTTCAATGAAAGTTAAAGATATTTTCTCCAAAATAAAAGCTAGTGTCTTATATTAAAATGTACGAATGTTTCTCTCTGTGTTCTCACTTTGGTGTTGAGTCATACAAACAAAATGGCGGCGGGGTCAGGTGACTCTTCAGTAGTTACTGTAATAGACTTATAGTTGAATGAAGCCGAGCATTATAATCTCACTAAACTGTGGCGAAGGTTGAACTGTATCTTCATTGGTTGATGGGAACTAAAAGTAACTAAATACATCTACACAACAACATTTAAGTACAACTTGAAGATATTTGTACTTTACTTGACTATTTCTACTTTATGCTTCTACTCCACTTTACTTGTTTGACAGTTATAATTACTAGATATTTTTCATATTAAAAGCCCAAAAACTGACTGCAGATCAGTGAGTCTGAACTTTCTGAACATTTCTTCTTCTTTCGCATGAATCATGTGACGACCGCTCAGATTTATCTGGTGACCCTGTGGAGGGACCCGAGCCCTAGGTTAGGAACCAGTGGACTAAACTAAGTGTATCTGACGTAGTTAAAGCAGCTCTAACTACAGGAAGTACTTTTACTGTTTTACTGTGACACTGAGTACATGAAGTATTTTTACTGTGATACTGCTTTAACAGAAAGTACTTTTACTGTTTTTTTAGCAACTACAGGAAGTACATTCACTGTGGTACTTTAACTACATTGAGTACTTTTACTGTGTACTTCGTAATTCTACCTAACGCCTGAATTTCAGTCAGGCAGAACAGGACAGTGATTCCTAATAATGAATTAAATGACTCTAATTAGTCATCAAACACAACACGATAAACAGACAAATTAATTTATTTCATTTCTAGTTGTGTTTCATGTGAGTCTGGAGCAACAGCTCTGAGGTCAGTTTCTACTGTAGTCACACAGAAAAACAATAGTTATTAGTAACTTCAGTGCCCCCTGCAGGTGAGAGAGAACACTGCAGGTGATGTTTTACCTTTTATTGTTGGAGGAAACAACTTCTTCTGCCTCTTCATCAGCTGCAGAACCTGTTGACCAGAACAGAGAAAGATGAAGAGCTCCCTCTGCTGGACACGTGGTCTGGACCAGGTTTTACAGATTATAATCAGATAAATTTACATTTGGTCACGTGTGTCTCTTTATTTCATGATTAATTCAGCACAGGAACATTTTCATCTGAACAGCTTTTACTGTCTTCAATGTGCTGCTGTCAGCAGGAAGTCTTCAGTCTGGTCTGTTACTTCAGTAACTGCAGTAATACCACAGTGTAGAAACGCTCCGTTCAAAGAAGCTTCAAAATATACTTAAATACAGAACGGCCCAATTTAGACAGAGTATATTCCTGGATTATAATTATTGATTATTATTGATGCGTCACTAATGTTGCAGCTGGTAAAGGCGGGACAAATCATAATTTATTTGCTCATATTTTATATCAATAACATGGAACAGTCTGTAGTTCCTGAAGCTTTAGCTGTGAGTTTTCAGTGAGGTAGAAACACTACCACACAGTTCTTATGTTTCCAAGCACAAGTCGTTTAGTGAATGGATTAAAAACAACAAAATGAAAGCAGACAGTTCTGACTCACCCTTCATCCAGTCTGTCCACACAGGTGCAGTACTGAGGGTTCTCCAGCAGGTGTCACTCTTCACTCTTAAATACTACAATGAACCAGGTTTTGTTCCCGTCACTGTTAAAGAAATCCTGTTGGTTCACATTTCACCTCCTGTGAGATGGAACTCGTCACCTCAGGGTTTCTGGAGGTTCATGAAGTTAAAGCTCAGACCTCAATCCCACACAGGAAGTTGCTTCGTCTGTTTGACAATCATACTGGTCAAAGTAAGGAAGTATGTTCCCCCTCCTTCTGCTTTTATCTATTCATTTAATTATCTTAGTGTTTGTGACCGACCGTCTCTCTCCTCTCTGACACCGGCTCAGTTCATGTAGCTCCAGAGACGACCAGGTTAGAGAAGTACATCTACATTTCAGATCCACGTCATCTTTAAAAAAGAGGTCTGAGGTTCAGAACAGAACTGGATTTTTTGCTAAAACGAGAAGATTCTATAACTGACATGACTGGCCCCGCAGGCAGGAAGTGTTGAAGACCTTTGCTGAATCACATTGGCATGACTGAGAATCCTCCCAAACAACCTGTACAAGAAAACTAACTTTTTTTTTTTTTTTTTTTTTTTTTTTTTTTTTAATAGGTTTGAACATTTTTCAGACAAAAACACATTTCATTTGTCAAGGCATCTTTTCCATTTTATTTTCTTATTCATTTTTTTGACTTAACAAAAAAACCGTTGGGACTTTGTGGAAAAAAACGTTAATGCAAAAGAAACTTTCAAAAGGCAAAGTCACAAATGCAGCAACATGATTTCAACAAGAACAGAATAAAAAAAAAAAGGGTGGGTGGAGAGAGGGGAGGAGCAGTTGAATATCCATCAATAGGAATGTTGAATGGTGGTGGATGGGGGGTGGGGCGGAGCCTGAAGGGGTGTGGCTACAGGGCAAGCAGAAAGGGTTAAGTGCTGGAGCTCAGAGCTGCCCACAGTCGGCGATGGCGACCTTGACCTTGGTTTTGCCGGACGAGTTGCCGTAGCTCTCCATCTTCTTTACTACGTCCATCCCCTCGACCACGATCCCGAACACCACGTGCTTCCCATCCAGCCTGAAGACACACACCAGAAGCATTGTGACTGTTGCTCTGCGCGACAAGTTAAAGCTAAGACGCTTACCAAACACTGAGGCTCAGGCTAGTGTGTGTGTGTGTGTGTGTGTGTGTGTGTGTGTGTGTGTGTGTGTGTGTACCATGCTGTTTTCTCTGTGCAGATAAAGAACTGGGATCCATTGGTGTTTGGTCCGGCGTTGGCCATGGACAGGATGCCAGGGCCGGTGTGCTTCAGGGTGAAGTTCTCGTCAGCAAACTTGTTGCCATAGATGGACTTTCCACCGGTTCCATTGTGGTTGGTGAAGTCCCCACCCTGCGTGTTGAACAACACACATTAACATCACACGCACTGACCCGGGTCGGGTTAATCAAATGTGTGTTTGGACTGGATGATGTGCTTTAAAGCAACTGTTCCACTTCTTACATAAAACAAAACCATTCACACTTCTGAAACATTAAATTTGGACTGGAACTAATATTTCCATCAAGTAATGATCATTTTATTTAGTTTTGATTATAAAATTTCAAAGAACAGTGACAAACACATGCTACAACCCCCCCCCCAACAAGGTTCATTGAAAGTGCTGGTTGTATCAATCAGCAGTTCACCATCACAAAGAAATGCAACAAGTCTAAATGTTTGGTAGCTTGAAAATGATTGATGATCAGAGCAGTTGTGGATTTGCTGCATTTCTGTTCTGTCACTAAACTGAATATGATCAGACAAAGTCATTAGAAGACATCACAGTTGGCTATAGGAGATTCTAACAACTTCATTGTCTTACATTTTATAGTTTAAAATCAAGAAAATCATCATTTAGCTCAAGCTCTGGTCTGAAAGAAGCAGCAGGAAACATCTCTAACTGAATCTTGCTCAGGCTTCAATGGAATTTTAAATGCCCCAAAAAACAAAAATCAAATTACAATGTGAACTAATAACCAGCCCTGCCTTATGATCATCACAACCTTCATCAAAAAAAAATTAAAAACCACATTTCAGTCTGGTCTCATTTGTGATGTTCAAAGCTCCAGTGTCAGTTTTTATTCTCACCTGGCACATGAAACCAGGGATGATGCGGTGGAAGGTGCAGCCCTTGTAGCCGAAGCCCTTCTCACCGGTGCAGAGGGCGCGGAAGTTCTCAGCAGTCTTGGGCACCACATCGCTGTGGAGCTGCAGAGACAAAAAATTAACACACCCAAAGTCAGTCAACTGTTCTGAGCAAACAAGGTGTGAAGTCGGTTGTTCATTTCCAAGACTGATAAAGAAAGGGAAAGGCTAAAAGTTGTGCATTCAGTGACCAGTAAATGAATGAACATTTGGCTGGTCGCCATCCAGGCCCCGAGCCAAAACCAGAGGAGGTTTATCAGACTGTGCACTTTGTTCTGTGCAGCAGCCAGTTGTATAACTCCTCTATATAGAAGAAGAAAGCTGCTCAAAGTCCAACTGTAAGGAGGTAAATGAAGCCTCTGCAAAAATGAAAACCAAATTACAGCCTGAACACATCATCCTACCACTTTGGATATGTGCCATTTTAAAATAATATCCCTGCAGAGCGGCACTCAAATTAGCTTTGTACAAGTGTCAAAAATGTAATGCTTCAGGCTGTGCTTGACATCCAAGTCAATAAATTAAAGTGCATCATTAAAAGTCAAATCAACTTCAAGAGCGCCTGAGGGCAGCAGCTCCAACCCATCGAACAGGGATCAGTTTATCATGTGATTAGTGTGTGGTAATTGTGTTATGTCATGGTGAAACAGGACTGCAGCATTGCACCACACTGGAATATCTGCATGCCCTGCACAGCAGTGACGCTACTGTGCAAGTATGTTCAGAGGGAGGGGGATGCTGGGGGAGGTGGTGGTGGTGGGTGCTGCAGCAGCAGACTGGCTGGACAGCTGAACTCACAACAGCCCTGTGCAGCTGTCCACCTGCTCAGCAGTAACAGAAACCATGCCTCAGCATGCAGCATGCCGCCTCCCTGGTGGCACTGCCAGCTGCACGAGAACCTCTGTGCATCAAACTTTCCCTCACTACTGTACTCATGTGTTACTTCCATACATGCGCAGAAACGCAGTTATCCCAGTAACACTAGCACCAATTCAAATCATAACCCGTGCTAGGTCTAGCTGCTTTGTGTTATTGTCTGTGCGTTACATCTTTGTCTCTACTGAAAATCTCGTTGCACTAAAGGGAAAAATAAATAAACAATTAAATCTCAGACCACAAATCAAAAGCTGCCAAGAGATGTCATTACCGCGAATATCACACGCGGCAAGAAGTTAACCGTGAGGGCTGAAGACTCGTGCCAAGAATCGGGAACGCCCATAATGAGGCACAGCTACTACTAGCTGAACAAAATGGCTGCTGGGCATGGTTAGCGTTTGGTGCCGTTAAACCGGGCGGATGTAACAACGGAGCGGTTATAGTAGCCGCTGTCGCTTATGTAACATGTTTAATCACAGTGAGCACAAAGGACTACAGGTATCCCGGGTGATTCCACCATCTTCCCTACATCCGCATTCTTTTTAACCGTACAGACAGCCCCCATCCCCCGACCGCGCCAGCACCATGGAACTTTCCAGAACTGCCTCCCCCTCCCCCTCCCATCCACCGTTCTCGAACACATGAACCGGCGCAGTTAGCTCCAGCGGCTAACACGCTAAACACCGCGGCAGGCGGCTCATTTTGTATTGTTACTCGGACCGAGTTGAGGACAACACCCTTAAACCGTTACGCTTTAGAAACGCGGTAAAATAAAGGAGCGAGTTGCCGCGGTGGGCTGAAGCCGTTTTTAACCTAAGGCAGATGAGGTTTCCCGGGCTTCTGCGTAGGCCGCGAAACGCTGCAACAAAGGACAGCAGTGACGTTAGCTCAGCAGTTAGCTAACGGTGCCCGGACAGCGACCCTCTAAACGACTCAAACCGGGGCCGCGGGCCTTGTATAGGCCTCAGCGTGACGAAAGCTGGTGCAGTTTTGGCTCTCACCGTGTTTGCTCATTATTTACAAATTTGCAGCTAAACCCGCCCCGACGGCAGTAAAACCGGCCAGTCAGGATCACACGGATATCATTAATAAAGCACCGATAAGAATTTATATGAATTACTGACTTAACACAGAAAATCCCCCGTAGCTACGACCGAATAAAGCCCCATCACCACCACTAACATTAACACCGTAAATGTCCGATGTCCGGTCGCGTTAGCCAGCGACGAGCCGCGCTGGCTGGACGCCACAAACACGTGCACACGTCCTGCAAGTCGTTCGTGACAGCTCGGCTAACGTTTTCTCTCGTGACGCTACATGCAGACCACAACGACCGGCTGACACCGGGGTTTGACGTCCCGCCGCCCGAACTGACTTCATGCCCGTACAAACACCAAGCAGAGGCGGTTATAGCAAAGACCCGGCGCAGTCTCACTGGACACGGGTGGAGATTAACATTCACCGGCCGCTCTGACAGCCAGCACAACTAGCTACACTTTACACCAAAGAGACCGGTTTACCTCCATCACAACCCGGCCGATGGATGCGCCGCTGGCGGTGACATCGAAGAAGACTCTGGGGTTGGACATTTCAGCAGGCGGAACTATACAGGGTAGACTGAAGAGTTCTCCGGCGAAGGAACACTGTGGGCCGCAAGGAACCGAAAAAGATGGAGGTATGTGGATTAATTTTATATAAGACTCCCAATGGGCGGTACAAAACCACAGTGAGCCAATCGGTAAAGCCTGAGTATTTGATTGCCGTTGGTTTTAGCGAATCAGCAGCCAGGACAGCTGACGCTCCCTTTCTACAGGTCTGTAAACGGACAGACGCATCTCATGGTATGTTTCATTCTAACATCAGAGTGGACCGCTGCGGCGGAGGTTGGGTGTTTCCAGGGTTTGCCACGCACAGCACCGCCCCGTCTCGGTGTCCGGGTCGCAAAACGATGAACTCACGAGTCTCAGAACAGCGCGCGCCACAGATAATTGACAGCTCAGGCGTCCAGTACGCGCAGCCGCACGCGGTGGGCGAACGTGTAGTCCCGCAGTCAGAGCGCGTTCCAGCTGACAGGGTGAAAAAAAGCGTGTGCGCGGTCACGCGGTCAGGGCGCGGTCCGTCCCGTTCTCCGCAGAAAGAAAGAAAAGTGAAGTTTGTTTAACAGACACAAAAAGTCACATGGCCGAGTGTTCAAAGTTTAAGGAGTTTGTCTTTAAAAATGATAAAACGTAAACTTTTCTATTGTTTTGTTGTTATTGAGAATTATGACGGTTGTATAAACAACTCATGTTTCACGGAACGTTCCTCTGCCATTATTCGGGAACGTTTTTGGTGGGAAAAAAATGGTTCTGGAGACGTTTGAATGAAAATCAGAACCACTGTTTCTACTTTCTTTTTATTTCATTAGCTTACCATGTAACAAAGTGCATGCATTTATTGATATTAAATTTCACTATTTAATATCATTATAGAATTGAAATAAATATACATTCTGTCATCACCTTCCAGCTGTATATAACAGTCATCCTAATGATATCATTAATTAATCGACCCAGAGAAGCAGAAAATGGTAGTGGATGACTTCCCTTAAAATCCAGAAATTAATTTTACAAAAGGATTATCAGATTATCTTGCAGGTGCAGGTAATTGGTGGGCGGGGCCATGACGTAGTCAGGATTTCCATGGTCATGGAAACATCTTCAAAGGTGTTTTTAGAGCAGACATGTCCACAGTGGATCAACTCTGAATAAAAAAGTGACTTTTTTTTTACAAACATAAAATGAATCCTGAATCACCTGGTGCCTGAATTTACATAAATAAAAACATTTCCATCATGAATTCATGCAGAAAAAAACACAAATTGATAATCACCAGGATGCAGGAAATGAAGTGTTTGATGCTTGGAGTTTCGTTGTTCCTCTCAGGTTTCCACACGGAGACGTTTAGAGAGCAGATCCCGACGGAGAGCTGGTGGGCGATGGTGGGGGTGTGGTATCGACCGGTGACCTTTAATGACCTTTGATGCCCTACGGTTGATGCTCACAGAGAGGAGGTGGTGCACGCTGGCATCATGAAGAGCAATTCAACCCCCCCTCACCTCCCGACCTCCTGAAGAAGAACTAAGTCGGTTTGTCAGGATGTCAGCTGATCTCTGCTCGTCAAGACGGAGGTAAGACTGGACTGGGGGTAAAGATTAAGAAGACGTGATGACTGAAGGTAAATAAGTCACACAGCAGTTTAAACAACACAACATCAGTTTCTGACTAAACAAATAAATAAAACCATTCATGATTACACCAGCAGGTCCTGGAGATGATCCCAGCTGTCTTTGGTTGAGAGGGAGCGTACACCTGGACAGGTATCCAGCTCCAAAGGTTGTAGTTTTCGGTGCTGTTGAATTGGAGTGTGAAACAATGCCAATTGGCCATGGGATGTTACAAGCTCTCTGATTGGTTGGAGAGCTAACCAGTCATATCTGGTTTTACCAGCACCGACGCTCCAGAGTGTCAGAGACAGACTAACAGGAGAAGCAGCTGGAAAAAGGGAATGAAAGTTGAATTCAGGAACATATTCTCGTTTTTAAAATGTCTTTTCAAATAGTTTTTCAAATTCTATTATTTATTTGTGAATGAATAAATATATTTATAAATGTATATTTAATGAGTTTTATGCTGTTTTTGTAAATCCATTTTTAAATCTTTAGTATCTATTGATGATTAATAACTTTTAATCACACACAATTTCATGTTAATTATTTATGCTTCATTTTGTAATAGATGAGCATCATGCAGACAGTATTCTAGTTTTACTGCTGATTTACTGCTATTTGAACCTGATTGAATTAATAAATTGTTTGGTTTATAAAAATCACACAAAAGATAAAAATATAAAGTTTGATCTGTTGTTTGTTTCTAACTTGTCTCATCTGACTCTGTTAGTTCACGTGTTTATTAAAGCACCACAGACTCTCCTCTGTCTGTCTTTCCAGTGTGTGTTTATTAAATTACAAAGGTTATTATTATTATTATTGTTATTAGCATCATTACTGAATCATACAGAGTGATCATGTACAGTTATTTTTTCCAGAAGCCACTGGACTCACTGGGACATGGAGACACCACAACTGTCTGGACTCTAGTCACTTTACAACATACAGAGTAATGATGAGCATGAGGAGGAGGAGGAGGGTGAGGATGAAGATGAACTCTGGTTTATTATCACATGTACAAGCTGCGGCTGTGATCTCAGGCCGACAGTTTGAGGCAGTGACCAGACAGCTGTTTCCTGTGAGGTCACTTCTTCTTCTTCTCCTGCGAGTATCGCCCCTCACTGTGTTCATGGTGGGCGGAGCTTAAACTCCTCTCCAGAGGCTCAACCGCAGGAAGAGACCGACGACGCTCCAGAGCTGAGATCAGTGACGTCGTTAGAACAGTTCTAGTGAGTCGAGTCGCTTTCGCCCCGTTTACACTTTCACTTCAGGTGCTGAATTCTGTGATTTACACTGAGCCACAGGAGCAGACAGGTGACAGGTACAGGTGTGTTAGTCAGGTGTTCAGTAACACAAAGCTTCAGGTAAACACCAGACACCAGATCGTTTCTCCACTTTGGTCCAAGTCTGTGGTGTGGATAAGAAACTTTTGTGTGCAGCAGAAACTTAAAGATGAAAGGTTAGTGCTTGTTTTCCACAAAGGGTTCGGAAAAAGATCCATCAGCTGACAGGAAATCACAGTAACAAAATAAAAACAATAAAAAATAATAAAAAAAAAATGCTGGGAATTCTCACCAAAATCTGCTCCCACTGCCCCCTGGGAAAAACCCCCAGCAGGGAAAAAGGTCTGTCCTGAAACAGAGACTCAGTTCCAGACTTCATGAACGCCACACGAGTCAGTGTCAACGCCGACATTAAAGGGACAGTTCAGGTTTGTTGACGTGGGGTCGTGTGAGCCAGTAAAAACTGACACAATCCAACATCCGTTTAAATGAAGCTTCATGTAGAATTTCTTCAGCTCTTTATCTTCCCATGAAAACAGCTCTTTCCTTTGGCACTACATTTGTCAACCGCTGAACGTGTTGCTACGCACGAGCGCACCATCAGAGTGCACTGTATCACGGCGCTTCCCGATTCCCTCAGCTGACCTGCGGCTGCGGCGTGATACAGTACCACCGCACGTCAAACAACCACAACTGTCCCTTTAACATGTCGTCGTTTTCAAGCTTAACTGGCAGCTACAGTTGAGCTGTGAGGGGAAATCACAGTGACGGAGATCACCTGAACATTTCAAACAACAGCGATCCAACCACCGAAACCGTCAAACATGATTCAACTTAAATATAATGAAGGACAGAAAGAGGATTAAATGATTCATTGTTGCACAAAGATACTTTCACATAATCTAATATATATATGCAAAAATAAAACCAGGACCTTAGAAGTTTTCTGTGATTCTATGTTTAAAAGTAAAAATCATTTCTGGTGAGAAATCCCAGGATTTCTATAAAAACAATGTCGTCATCCAGAGTTTATTATAATTTTTCTTTTAATTCACAGTAAAACCTTGAACCTGACTGAAGTCACCTGCTGTGGCTGAGTGTAAAAGGTGAGTCTGTTCACCTGCCCGTCGTCGTTCTGTGTTCACGCTGCCTTCAGGGTCTCCACGTATCTCAGGTGAAAAACAAACAAAAACAGGAAGAGACGTGGACTGCTCCTTTAAAGCTCATCTTCAACTATTTATATCGTCACATTTAAAACTGGTCTGCACCAGAAACAATCTGGTTTTAAAAAAGGACCTTGCTGCCCGTCAACGACACGTCACGTTCACTCCTCGTCACCGCTGAACGTCTCATGGTCTCTGTTTCCATAGAAACGAACAGAAGCTACCGGCTGTGTGGAGGAGGTGAGTCAGAGTAGAGATGGTGGATGATGTTCAGCAGTGATGGAGAACGTGATCTGCTGCTGTCGACTCCGACGGGGAATGAAGGATGAAGCATCAAAATACAGTTTCAGAGAATAAAAAAACAATAAAATAAAGTTACCATTAAGTTCATCGTCACACATCAAAGAGGTTTCATATTTAAAAGTTGGTTTTTGTTTCGTTTCCTTCGTGTCGTCCGCTCCGTCCTGAGCAGACGACGGCCGAGCGGGACCCACGCCACGAGGGAGGAGAGAGAGAGTTGGTTTTTTAAAATGTTTAAATTCTCCAGGCGTGTGTGTGTGTGTGTGTGTGTGTGTGTGTGTGTGTCTGTGTGTCTGTGTGTGTGTGTGTTCAGTTGTTCTCAAACAGGGACAGCAGGTCGTCGTTGTTGTTGCTCGGGAGGTCCGGAGGGCCGAGGTAGGACAGCAGCTCGTCCGGGTTGGTCAGCTCAGGAAGCAGCTGAGGAAACAAACATGGCTGCCAGGTCAGATTAGGTTTCCTTTATTATCATCATCATTATCAATAATCATGATGAATCCAGTAAAGCTCAGTAGAGTGTGTGTTGTGTTTCTACTTACGTCCAGAGAAGGTTCTGGAACCTCTGCAGACCCCCCGAGCCCGAAGGAGCCGTCGCCTTGGAGACGGGGATTCTGGTTGCTACGCTGCATCATCTGGTTGCCGCCCCCCAGTTGGGAGTTGCCGTGGAGACCCTGCGACTGCTGCTGGGAGAGAGGAGCACCATGGGAAGTGGAGTCCATACGGCCTGAGACTGATATCTAAGAGGGGGGAGGAGAGGAGAGGAGGTGAGAGAGAGGTTCGAAGAAGGAAGAGGGGGGGTTAAGAAAGGGAGGAAAGAGGAGAGAAAAGGAAAGGAGGGGAGGAAGGAATGAAGGAGGGAAAAGAGAGGGGGGAGGAGGTGAAGGAGAGGAGACAAGGAAAGGAAAGGGGAGAGGAGACACAGAATCTGAACTGGTTTTTGACTCCATTTGTTTTTCACTAAAGAAAAACGTTTGACGATGAGGATGAAGATGAGTCACTGTACCTGTCCTGCCAGTGGGTGTGGGGGGGGTTTGTCGGGGGTGAGGAGGGCGCTGGAGAGCTCGGACTGGTAGGAGAGAGGGGGGGGGCCGGGGGAGGAGAAGTCCCCCCCAACCCCCGGAGTCCCAGGACCGCTGAAGTCTGAGAAGCTGCTGGACTGACCGGGATAGGACGGAGCTGAGGGAGACAGAGATGGATCAATACGTCTGATCGGAACACTTATTGATCAGATCTAGATGACATCATCACAGCTCCTCCCCCTTCTACCTGGTCCGGGGTAGTCAGGTGTGTTGCTGCTGTTATTGCTGCCCCCCGTGGGTAGGGAGGGGTAGGGCATCGGGGAGGAGGAGGAGGCCACGGAGGTGGAGGAGGAGGGGGCGGGGCCGAGCGAGGCGATCATCTCCATGACGCTAGGCAGGACCATGTGACTGGGGCTGAGCGTCCTGCAGCGCTTTAGCACCGGACCGTCTGACTCCTCCTTCACATGGAGGTCCGGCTTCACAGGGACCGGCTTCCAGCTGCACACCGGGTCGATGGTGAGGGGGGGGGGGGGGGGGGGGCAGACATGTCAACTGTAACACAAACATTCTTTTAGTCGGAGGTTTTTCAAATGTCGAGTGTAAATAAAGTTTCTTACTTTTGAACATAGATGAGGATTCCCAGCATGTACTGATCCACCTCCAGACCTTCTAACAGAGCGGTTTTACTGCACACACACACACGCACGCACACGCACGCACACACACACGCACACGCACACGCACACGCACACACACACACACGCACACACGCGCACACACACACACACACACACACACACACACAGGTTACAAAGGAGATATGAAACGTGTTTAAAAAGTAAGTGTAAGTGTGTGTGTGTGTGTGTGTGTGTGTACGTGTGTGTGTGTGCGTGTGCGTGTGCGTTACGTACTTGCACACGGGGCATCTCCAGGTTCCTCTCTCACAGTTGAGCTGCAGATACGACTCCAGGTCGAAACACTGCAGACACGGACACGGACACGGACACACACACACACTGTTGTTAACAACTACACACAAACTACAACTGTTGCTGTCTGAGCTGACGTCACCATGGAGACCAGCACTGTTTGATGCACTGATGAAAATGAGCGTGGAGCGCTGTGACTGGCCGGTGCTCTGACCTGTATGTGTCTGCAGTCGTGACCTCTGGCGGGCAGCTGGATGCGGCGGAAAGTGATCGGACATTTTAACGAGACTCTGATGGCTGTCTGCTCCACGCCGTCCTCTCCGTTTAAGCCGGGGGTCCCGGGAATCGAACCGCTGCTGAAGTTCCTTTTGACTGAGAGTGATGAGGAAGGGGGAGGGATAGGAGGAGGAAGAGAGAGTTATAATGAACCCGAATGACGCTTCGTTTCCTTTAGTACTACAAAATAAGAGCATAAGTTATAATGAACCCGAATGACGCTTCGTTTCCTTTAGTACTACAAAATAAGAGCATAAGTTATAATGAACCCGAATGACGCTTCGTTTCCTTTAGTACTACAAAATAAGAGCATAAGTTATAATGAACCCGAATGACGCTTCGTTTCCTTTATAAACAAGAGCAGAGCTATGATGAGCCTCAATGATGCGTTCACTTACTCTTGGTGACACAGTGCTCTGCAGGAAGCAGCCTCTTCTTCATCAGACCCTGCAGCACCGAGCGAACCGACGGACGATGAACCAGCTGCAGGACGAACAGGTGAGACTGCAGAGAGGAGGGGGAGGAGCTTCACATTAAAACCATGTGACGGTGCGGAGGACACAGTGACTGTAGTTCGGTGTGTTGTGGTTTCTTACGCAGCAGCAGGCGGTGACGGTGATCTGGATGGTGTTCCTGCCAGGCTGACACACCTGCTTCAGGTACAAAGGCTTATGGGAAGTTTTGTTGTCGCCTCGCTCGATGGTGAGAGGAGTCGCGTTCACACTCACCTGAGGATGAGACGGGCAGGTGAAGAAAAACAGACACCTCAGTGGTGATGGAAAAAGCAGGTGAAAAAAAATAACAGGAAGACGGAGGTCAAAGGTCGCACCTGGACGGAGGCGGGCCAGTTGGTGTTCATCTGTCGGTCCTCGTGGTGGTAACACTTAAACTGGAGCTCCAGGTCCGGTCTGATACAACACACACACACACACACACACACACACACACACACACACACACACACACACACACACACACACACACACACACACACA